AGTTTGGCGGTTGTACTGTATTTCTTTACCAATAACAACCGTATTCTTTTAATTCTTTTATCGCCAGTTTATAGCGCGTTTTCCACTCTACAAAATCCGGTATAAACAATATCTTCACTATACCTCCTTACTGAGTTGAAAAACTTTTTTCTTCTCATGTCAGGTCAAACTTTTTAAAAAATTCTTTTTTGAGGAAAGACCATAGTTTCAAACCAAAATCAAATATGGTTAGATGCGCAATAAAATTCTCTATCGAACCTGCTATTCAGCTTTTTGATACTTTCAAATTTTTAAATCCGGCAGGGTCCTTTCGATTTGTCGGACAAAATAAAAGACCACCTGATCTTCTGTTACGAGCAGGAGTTTAGCATCTTGCAAGCACTTAAAGAAAAATTGTTTCTAGGCTTTTTTATTTGAAATATATAACCGTATGAGTGGAAAAGGATGGGGTAGCAGGGCCGGGTGTCTCTTCACAATCCAACAGTTTATATCTTAACTACCAGCTGAATTACACTAGTATCGGGATTTTCTTGAAGTTGCTCAACCACTCTATTGAAGCCGGACGCCAACTATGTTTCTCCGACTGTTCATCCTTCCATCACAAAATATGCCCGATCGAACTTTTTGCACAACTAGGTAACCGTTTTTAACTAATCAGAAAGAAGTTAAAACATTTTTTGATTGATTGTTGACGAACTTTTAGGAGAAAAATTAAAGAAATTTGTTTTTTTAGGACCCGATAGTTTTTAGGCAAAGGTTCGATGAATTAGGCATTTCGGCCAAATATGCCCGAGAAAAAGCAGTTGGAATGGTTGAGCCCATAAATAAGTAGAAAAAACGTGATGCTACTACTCTCTGACAAGGAATTGACGTTATTGTCTGAATATCAATATCGCAATCGATCATCACACTTCCTATTTCTTTTGCCACTAAAACGCTATGTATTGCGTTTTTGTCATGCACAGATTACTTCCAGTTAGAAAGGAAAACTTTTCCTGAAAAGCTGTACTATTCATGCATATTCTTTCGTAGCATCAGCAATTTTTCTGCCTAGAAATTAAACGTTAAGTGAAAGTATAATAAACTTTATTCTGATGAATCAGAGATTTTAATATAATATCCAACTGTGAACAAACAATTGCAAAATGAATCTATTCATTTCATCGTTTATAACTTTTGAAAGAGCGAGGGTCTAAGGAAAAAAGCTGAAAAGATCCCGTAAAAACTGTAGAATGGATCCTGTATACTAAAATTTCGATAAAAATAGTAGAAGTGATCCCGGATTTAGAAAAAAAATATTTTCGACAGAATTGATCTCGGAATAAACTAATTTTTATATTTATTGTGCAGAATTGATCCCGGAAAACTTTTTTCTTTCTGCGAACAAGAGAATTGATCCCGGTTGACGTGTGATGCGAATGTAAAGACGGCGTTGAGACATAAACAATAGCAATGTGTAGCGATCACATCTTTTTTCATACTTTTTCACTCACATCACTTTTGACTATTATCATCACTATTAAACAAACTATGGCTCGAAAGACATGGCTATTAGTTTTTACGTGTGTAAATGAAACTGATTTATTAAGTTTTATCAAAACTCAAGGTGTCTGCAAAAATCGAACTGAACAATTCATTGGTGGTTTATCAATTACATATAAATGTTCACAGTACTGAAAATATCCGCTATGCGAGTATGAATTGAATATTGTATATAGAAATCAGCGAAGAGCTTTGGGAAAGAAGATCTTATGTGACCACTACACACGTCAAACGGGATCAATTCTCTTGTTCGTAGAAAGAAAAAAGTTTTCCGGGATCAACTCTGCACAATGAATATAAAAATTAGTTTATTCCGAGATCAATTCTGTCGAAAATATTTTTTTTCTAAATCCGGGATCATTTCTACTATGTTTATCGAAATTTTAGTATATGGGCTCCGTTCTGCATTTTTTACGGGATCAAAACAATTATCGTCCAGGGTCTAAATCCACTTTTCTATCAGTATTTTTTATCTTTTTCCCGAGTGACACCTATTTTAAAATCTAAATAGTTTTTAATCAGACGCTTGTTCAGACTGAAGCTTTTAAATCTTGACTAAACTTTTGTACTACGTTACGTTCGCCAAAGTCTGTGGTAGTAAATGAGCATTGGTTTGCCCGAATAGGTTACACTTCCCTTATCATACCTTCTAGAGAAGTGGAACAAAATATTTTACAACATAATGTAACAATGTGAGAGTATACTCTCACATTGTTACACATATATAGAGTATGATTGTGCATGTTTTGTTCGTTTCTGACTTCGAAGAGTTTTGATAAAAAATGAAATTACACTAAAAAAAGATGAGTGTTTTTTATAATGCTGTTTGTCGAATTGACAGAACAACGTATTTCATCAGAAAAGCAAGTTCTGTATTTTTAAAGTCATTTACAACCTTCACTTTGTGATGATTCTTTATCATAACCTTTCTTTCTAGTATGTACAGCTTTCAGTAGGACTACTCACTTTTGTTTCATTCTGTTCCCTGTCTTTTTTTGTTCTTTCCTGGCTTTGTCCTTTTGTGGTTCTTATCTTTCGTGCATGCAGTAGTAAATATATATTAGTATTTTTCTTTTGTTGGAGTTAGTTTTTGTAGTTTGTGATAAAGAGTAGTCGAGTAAAAGAGTGGTACTACATAGCTTAACGCACGCATACAATCAACTTAAGGACTTATAAATAGAGGAAATAAAAGTCTCTCACACACTTTACCAAGTTTATAGCAAGACATTAAAGACAACAAAATACGCTTGAATGGATCATTCATCCACACTTCCGTAAAGGGTTCCCACCATCATTTCCCGTCTTGCTACAGAATCGTATCGACTGATAGAAGAGTGGAGTATATTCTAGAAAAAGAAAATAGGTATATTTCTGCTCAGATCGTAGAAGTCACTTTTAGGTATAGTTTTCCGGAAAAATCAGGCTTTTCATTTTGTAACTCCATTGAAGCTTTGTCTGCTCGAGCTCAAACTTTTACCACAGCCACTAGACTATAATAGACCAAAAGCTTTTCGATTTAAATCTTTAGAATATAACATGAAGGATTTATCGAAAATCATGTGGAGAAACGAACTTTTAATCTGAAGCTCCGAGAAATCGGTCGTCGTTCCTATAGGAAGAGGTGTTGGGAAGTTAATCGGTAAACACCTAGGCGTATGAATATCTGATAAAATTTGAGCTCAAAAGAACAAGATTTTGATGTTGCTGGTAAAAATATGTGAGCAAAACATTAAACAGTTTATTTCTTAAATACATTCTGCGTCATAGAGAGGAAAAAGAAATAATAATCATAATAAAGAATTACGTGTATTTTTTACCATTAAAGAGCAAAAACAAGTGAAATTCAATAAAGTTTTTTCTAACAGCAGAAAAAAAGGAATTTTCTCTCTGTTCTTCAATACCATTCTGAGAGGGTTTGAAAAATCGGCTTTTTTTGCACCAGCCGGATTGAGCTAAAACTTTGGGCAATAAATAACAACTATTAGTTAAGTATTTTCTAAAAGTTTCATTAGGGTAGTCTCAACGGTTCCAAAGATAATTATTTTTATAGGCTGCGCTAACTGAGTAGCGTTTATTCTCGTTGAACGTAGCGCGGTTGAACAAAAGTAATTGTTTCTAAGGAAAAACATTGTTCAGCATGAGTCTTGATGATTGAAAGCATATTTATGGATTTTGCGAGCTTCTTTGAGTGAACTTTGAGCAACTATAATCCCTTTTTGTTGCTCGGTTACACATGAGAGATCATCTAGATGGCAATTCTAGAGCGTATAAACATAGAAAGGAGAAAATACAGTTCAAGTATAGAAATCAAATTTCTGCCTGATTATACCGTTCTTCATTCTTCTTGTCAACAGACTATAGAACCACATTCTTCTTGTCAACAGACTATAGAACCAAATAAGAAAAGAATAAATTTTATGTTATCATAGAATGTTCATTCATCATATGCCCAAGAAGATAGTACCTCGTGTCAATATTAGTCACTAATCTACCAGTTTTTTCGATAGACGTTTGGCTTTTAATTTCATGAACTCGATTGCTGTTTTACATTGATTATTTAACATTGTTTTATGTTTTTCAGAAAATATTAAGGAAAATGTAGACTCGATATTGTTTATAATATGTTCGCATAAGTTTTGATAATTAAGCTATGGATCGTTTTCAATTATATCTGCCAGTTCTATGGTGAGTTGTAGTGGAATTTGAATCTAACAATAGGAATTTAGTAGTCGTGTCACAGAGCAATTAAGGGAAGCTTTGAAAATATATTTCGACCGGTCGCTGTTTCTCTATTCTCCTATTATTCCTCTATTATAGTTAAAACTATATTATACAATGAAATGTTCTATAATGGTGTATTCTCGTTTCCCCAACTCATTAAAAATATTCTCGTTTTGCCGACTTTTCTAAAAATATAGAAATCTATGGTTCTCGTTTTGCCGACTATTTTCTTAATTGATATATATACTAATTAAGTGATATGTATGAAAAATTTATATTTTGTAATACAGAAAAAGAAAAATCGAAAATTAGAATTTTGTTAATACCAATCAGTTTCATACTTCGGTCGTGAAATTCATTTAATGTTAATTTGTGTTCTTTATATCTTTTTTCCAAATCAGTTAAGTGTTTATTGAGTCACGATGTTAAATGACAGGGATGACAAAAAAGTTCTAAAGAGCTTTGACTAAGTCACACCGTATGCGTGTATTTCGTTGAACATATAATTTTTTACGTGATGGTGTCGCACCAGTGGCAGACGTTTGTGTTATAATAGCCGTATTGAACGCAAAATCTTCTTTTAAACTATTAAGAAATACGTAAAAATTTGGATGATGAACATGATAAAGCGAAGAATTTAGTCTGCAATGCCATCCCTCGACGTTATTGTTAGTACGATGACTTAAGAAATCAAAATAATTCCACAATGAATAATCAAACATTGCATTATCATCTACTCATGTTGTTGTAAAATAATCAAAAAATGGTTCAATATTTTGAATATATTGAAAATCATTCATAATTTGCACCCATAAATTTGGAATCTGATCTGGCATAAAAGCAAGTGCAGCTGTTTTCTTATATAAATTTCGAACATTTATATCATTAATATCTGTAGATTCAGCATTAATAAAAGCAGACTGGAATCCTAATGCTTGTAAACGTTTATATAAACATTTATTAAAGTGAAAGTTGCAGCCTTTTATTGCTGCATTTGGAAATATTATACTTAGATAAGTTATCATCGCAGTTTCAAAATCTATGGTTATATATTTTGGATTAATAATTAAATGATTTTCATAACAAATTCGTTGAATTGCAGCTGATAAGTTTGTATATGTACCTTGACTTTTATCCGCTAATAATGAATAAAGGTTTGGTGTAGATATTTGATTATTATAACAATGGATGGTATATAACTGATAGAATGGAGATGGACAGCATGAAAATGTACCATCCATAAATAAATGATCACTACTACATAATTGTTGAAGAGATGATAATGTATCAAATACTGGTTGTTGTTTCTGATCAATAAGTAGAAAAGGATCACCATTTAACGTTTGTCGCCATATACCTAATTCAAGACAGAACTATAGATCAAAAAGTGCTCTAAAATAAAAATGAATGTTTTTTACCTTCAATGTTTACATCATTT